AATGTTTCACCAGAGTGCTGTTCCTCGACGTGTCGTTTTAACACCCTTCCGAAGCATGTTGGAAGGTCCTAATAGAACGTATGGCTGTGTAAGCAGTGTGTTTCAATTTTGTGGGGGATCTGAAAGTGTAGCTCTTTTTTTTTTTTTTTTTAATAAAAAGGAAGAAAGAAAAATTCTCGAAGGGGTGGTTCACTGTGAATGCTCATATTCTTCGCGAGTATTAACCCTCTATTTAGCAAGCTTTCGTTTCTTCCTTGGAATTCGAACAGCAATAAGAATTAGATAGCGCTAAATCTAGTTGTATTAAATAGTGGTTTTTAACGAAACAGAACTGACAAAAGTATGTACGAAAAAAAAAAAAAAAAAAAAAAAAAAAAAAAAAAAAAAAAAAAAAAAAAAAAAAAAAAAAAAAAAAAAAAAAAAAAAAAAAAAAAAAAAAAAAAAAAAAAAAAAAAAAAAAAAAAAATGAAAAAAAAAAAAAAAAAAAAAAAAAGAAAGAAAGAAACTAATCAAACGTTTATCGAGAGTCTCTCTAAATTTGTGCACGCTCATGCCTCAAAGCGAGCAAGAAAACAAATAGATATCCACGTGAAACGTCGAATCGAATTGTCTCGTTTATTATCGAGGAACGTTTTTACTTGAATATCTTTGCATAGCCATACGTAACGTTTTCTAAGGAGCTTTTACGTTCTCCTTCTTCATTCTCTTTATTTTTTTTTTTTTTTTTTGCCCTGAAAATCTATCGACAGATCATCGTAATTAGGAGAGCTGTGCTTTCAAGTTTCATTTTTTCCCCGTTGCAACACGACGGTGGCACACAACGAGAAACAAGGATCGCGGCCGTTTCTCTCGAAGGAAGAACCATCTGTATAGAAAGAAAGAAAAAAAAAAGAAAAGAAACAGCACCACGTTCAAATCCGAATTACGTGTCCTACTGTAACCAGCACTCTTCTTTGTATTATACCCTTAGCTATTTAGAATATAAATATATAAATATATATATTTTTTGTATTTTACTTCTACCTTGGCTGCATTGGACTGTATTATATTGATTGTATGTGGCATGCTGAGGGCGTGTACAAATACGAAATAAAGATCAAATAAATCACGACCGACGCTTCCTCTCTTTTCACGAAAGATTTATTTTTAATTCGAATTGTAATAAGATGTCCAACGAGACGAGACTCTACGATGCTTCCGTACGTAATAGCCAGGAATAAAGGGATCCCTCTCGGAAGATTTATGCGCATACCTAATGTGAGCAACGGTGCAATTGAGACGTATTGCAAAACAATACACGTGAAAAACCCACGTGTACCCAGTCACACCTCTCGCGATTGGCAAACCAACAGTACCGCGACTTATTCTTCGAGTTATCGGCTTTCTCCGACTATCGAGGCTGTTCCACTTTGAAGCGGCAAACGTTCAGGAAAACCACAAAGCACGAGACTTCGGAATCACTTGAAGACACCGGAGGAAACCGTAGAAAGAAACGGGGAGAAAATCTTACAATTCCATTTAGCAGAAGAGAAACGAGAAATGTGCAAAACTGAATACCTAAGCTACCTTTTCATTCAAACGGTAAACGTGATTACAGAACGGTATACAAGATCGAGGGACGACGAATAAAGGAATTTCTTGAAAACGAAAAAAGAAAAGAAAAAATATGACAAACGCAACGAAGCGGCGCTCTACTTTCCATTCAAAATTCAGTCCCACGAGTCTTCTTTATCACACACCCGGTCGATAAAAGTGAGCCCGCAGAAGTGGCTAGACTGCGATTGCCGAAACGAGACGAGTGCAGCAGCGTCGGAAGGCGCAGGTCCGCTGGTATCACGAGCAAGGTGAGACGAGGGAGGCCAAGGGGGATCCAGAGAGAGCATAGGGATTTCCTCGACGCATCTCGATGCAGTAGACGACAGCATCCCGCGGGTGTTCGCGATCGAACAGTCAGGGGCGGGAGAGCTGGTGAGCAGAGGGTTCAAGGAGAGAGAACCCCTGTCTCTTTCTCTCGCACTCTCCCTCCTCGTGATCCGTCCTCTGTTACACGAAAAAGAGAAAAGGAAGTATCACTTGTCTCTTTTTTTCGTTATCTCCACGAGAAGCAGAAGAAGATCGCGTTGAACGTGCTGTCGCGACACACAGGGTTAGAGTGATAGTTGGAAGGTATTCCGATTCCGTCGGTTCACTGTGGTAAACACACGAGGAAGGGCCGACGACGCCCAGTCGACGAGAATTCGAGAGAGCGATTCGACGAAGAGTATCTGACGACGATAGAACGCACCAAGGGAATCCTGGCAGAACTCCAATCCTTCGGCTCGTCGCAAGGCGGGCAACCTGGCGGCGTTCGATGTCGGCACAGCAGACCGCCAAGTGTGTCGTTGCTATTTTCAAGTAGTACGTATAACCACGCTGCTGCTCGCAGGCTTTCGTAGAGCTTGCAAGCTTGGCCGTAATGAAATGTAGAGAAACGTGTACGATCACCGCGTAGAGAGACGCGGCTGATGTAGTTGTACAAAGCGCGAACACTATCGGACACGCAACTTTCTTGAACACACGCTAAACCAGACAGACGGCTGGCCGATTGATTAACTTTTCACGAGGCGACCGCGCGCCTCGACGCTTCCGGCCCAGACACGTGCTACACGCGGGGAGCGCCGCGATGGGAGTTCCCTTGGTGAGCAGACGCTGCTTTCCATAGAGCCGCCTGATTATCCGTCTTCGATTTAATTCGGTGGGCGTGGATGTCGCTTGATTGATAACCGCAGGCGTAGCGGGTGTTTCAATTATCGATGAAAATTTCTCAAGTTTTTCATTTTTTAATATTCTTAACGGACGAATATGGTTAATCGAAGGTAGCATAATAGAAATTCTACGAAACCACCTGAAACTCCAACAAATATCTCCAGTCTCCCACAGAATGAAATAAAAGGGAGGCGCTTACCTCGTAAAACGCTAATCTACTATCCCATTACACCCGTTCACGTTACAATCACTGTATAATCGGTCGAAATGGAAAAAGAGAGAGGAGAATTTAAATTGGTGGAAATTGACGATCGAACGCTGTTTAGGCTACCGTGACGGCACACAGTCGCGTATATAGGTATCCGCGCTTTAATTACTTATTTTTTCTCGTCGCTCCAAAAAGCCACCGATGTGTAATACAGCCTTTTGTGTGCCGGCCGGGGCTTCTGTGTGCGCGCGTAAAGCGCGACGATCGAGCGTACGTCAAAGCCGGCAGTGAATCTCCGCGGGCCGAAGAGCGCGGACGTTAGCACCGCGGCGAAGCCGCGTGAATACGACTGGAACAGTGTGAAAAACCGACTCTTGGAAACCTTCTTCGGCACCTTTTTCCAACCGCTGGTTCGCGCGGAATCGATATTCCCCCGCTAGTAACGACGAGACGCTCCTGCAACAACGTTTCACCTACAATTCTACGCGCGTTTCCTAATCGTATCTTTCACCTTTTCACGTTAACTCGCAAGTGACACGTTGGTACGAATGTTTTCGAACAGAATTGCAAGTGTGTTCGATTATGATGTAGAGAGTGTCCAAGTGTTCCTATCGGTTGTATCTTTAGCAGTTTTATTTTTATCGAAATCGATTGAGAGGTAACGATCGAAGGCTGAGATGGTAACGTTTGGTTAGAGAGGTAAAGGTGCCGGTTTATATGAGAATTATTAAACGACAACGTTCACCGAGGTGTATTTCAATTTTCTTGCTTATTCCGAGGATAGATCGCGACGCGTGTATTCCGGCAGATATTGAAAAGTTTGTTAAACGTGGACGTTAGCTTTTAGAATGTTCCGCGGGAGGTAACGAATTATTCCGCACTTTCTTTTTTAATTAGAAGTTGCGGTTGGTCTCGGTGCACAGACGGTGGCTTCGTGCAATTATGGAAATCCATGTACCGCTTCGACGTAAGCTCCCCTATTCTTTGGAATTAATTAGCGACTTAATTGCCAGATGAATTCCGTGTTTCGTTCCATCGGGAGCTTTCGAGCGCATCCGATGGGAACGCGTGGCGTGGCTTTTCAGTGACAATTCGCGCGCGCTCTCGTATTGCTCGTCGCGATTCGACTCTCGCCAACGAGAATTCCGCGATTTTCAAACCGTATCGCCGTCTCTCGAACGGAACAGACGGACTCGTTTCTTTACGCTCTTCTACCCGCGAAATACGATTCCCCAGACAAGCTGAACAAAAGCCTCGGAAAGTATTTTGCATTGTCGTAAGCGCTGTATGGAAATCTGATCTCTTCCAATGGAAAAGCTGAAATTAAGAGAAAAACAATTGGAGATTTATACACCGTTCGTTTGAACATTCTAGCTGGGTTAACGGAGGAGCGTGAACTATTTCAAGAACCGATTGTGCCTGTACAACAATCGTCTTTAAGTCGTGCATTGTCCCTCCTTCTAATCATAATTGACGATTGCGCAATCACCACTCGAAAATAGTCGTTGAACGCACGCAGCACGTCTACTACGATAGAGAGAAAAATGATCGCTGTTAAATGGCTCTTTATTTAGGAAATTGGGGCGGCTGTGGTTCGCAGTTTAACGCGATTCAGGTCGGAGAGAGATGCGACGCGAGTGAAATCACAGAAAGTAAGAGCGACAAAGAACGCGATGGAAAAAAGAGAGCTTCGTGAAACGAAGAAAACCGGGAAACAGGTTCTACCTTTCTTAAATCTACCAACAGCCGGACAATATTTTTAACGTGTAATACCCGTTTATACCAAGATCGCAATCTATATTTGTAGAACCCTTTTTCCCATATTATATACGCACAGTGTATAGAAAAGTGTCTGAATGAAACCAAAGAAACTTGGTTGAGATCATCTGAGAAACGGAAGAGTGTCGTCTTTTATTTTCTTTTTTCTGAAACGAATCGATTAATCTTCGCTGGCTCGTCAGCGCGACGTGTTGGTACGTGGTGGAGAATGAAAAGGTGGATTATTTAAGTGGAATGAATGAACGTGAACGGAAGAAGTAAGACAGAGTAATCGCACGTGCTTGTTGGTGGTGAATCGACGTAAGATTTGTGATAGCCGGTAATGGCAGCGCGTGCCAAACGTTTTCGAGAATCAACCGTTATGACATGGTACAGCAACGGGAGGACTCTAGGTGGAAGTAGCTCAGGAGAATTCCGCGACTATTTTAAGAACGTCCAAGATCATCGTTTCTGAGAGAAAACTGGAAACAAGACGCGTCACCAGACACATATCTTTTATGATAGGATCCGTTAGTGGAACGAAGGTTGCACGAAGGAAAAAGGAAACAGGGTCGAATATTTTTACTATTTTTCGGATCGACGAGTTGTGAATCGAAGAGAGAAGAGGAGAAGAAGAAGAAAAAATGGAGCCAAGGCCAAAAATCGAGATTGTTCGTGTGCCTGCGAACGAGCGAGCTAACTTCCGGTCCCTGGACGGTGTCCGTAGCGGTTACAGCCACATTCGTGTGGGCACGTACTGCCCGGAACCGGAAGTCAAAGTGGTAGTTTGCGACAGCAAACCACCTATCGAACAGACACGTAAATTCAAAAGGTATGCACGTTACGATCTCTCCATTCGATGCTGACGATTTGTCTTTTTCAGAAATCTGGGACCAGTCTCGAAATTGCTGAGGCGTCGTCATCACGCGACATATCTTGCAACCAAATCCTGTGATAACATTTATAGCGTGAATAGAAGTAGTAGCTCCTTAGACTGGAGAGTTAGTCAGACGGCGAACGAGCAAGGTGGGAATTGATTTGGTGAAGAACGAACAGCTACACTGTACCGTTAACGTCGGCAAAGCATTAGTGTTACACGAGCGGCATTCTAAATTACTTTTCAGGCCTTCAATCTCGTCAGAGCAGCAGCCTGGATTGGAGAGTAGGAAGATCCATTAACAAACTGCACTGGAGGGACACGACGCGTAGCGCTGAACAGCTTTCGCGAAGCGGGCCAATAAGCTCTGATCACCTACAAACGCCCAGCACAAAGTACTTGGTCGTTCTAACGCGACTATAGTTGGTCCGTAAACGACCATTCACACCAGCTACTGTCTGATTATTTCAGGTCGAAATTGATCTCGCTGCTTCGACGACTATCGCCGAGACTCTCTCGACCAGGGAGTAAAAATTCTTTGCAACCGTCGCCTACGATTTGTCCGTGGGTACAGGTAGAGTACTCGTCGGAATCGATCAACGATGGGATACGAGAAGATCCGCAGGAGAGCGACGTGAGTTTCCAGAGGGAATTGCAACTGAACGAGCTGAGAAAACGAATGGCTGGGATTCCAACCACTTCTCAGGTGATTAATACCTTTAACGAGGATTTTTCTTGCGTTTCGCGAAGAAGAGACGGTTACGTGTAGACGTTGGTTGTATTTGGTGCGATTAGAAGCGATCGATTGTCGCGTTTAAGTCGTCTGGAACGAAGGTAAATCGAAGGCGTGTCCGCTAATAGGTTCCGCCTCGAGTGATTTAAAAAGAAGAGGCAAAGTAATCCTTGGAGAATGTGATTTTTATTGCCTCGGTGTCTACAAGTATGCTTTAACGAAACGACTTCTATCTAGAGGTTTTACGTCCCAGGTCACCACGAAAATCGTTAGGGACGGCAAGGAACAAGAGACCTCCTCGCAGCCAAGGATACAAGTGCAACAATCCGATAACGACTGTAGTACCACCTCCAAATCGTAAGCTTCCGTTTTATTTTATATGATTTTCCTAGTTTTTCCTCTCTCTCTCTCTCTCTCTGATTTTTTCATACTTGGAACGAGAATTTCCGTTGCTTTTTTGCATTGAACGACAAAATTACGAACCTCTTCTCTAAGAGTACTCTTATATTACCTCCCCCTTCTATGCATGGAACCTAATTGCACCTAATCGAATAAGCTCCGCAAAACTGAACGATAGATGTATATCACACCCAATAAACAACTGAGAATGTTTTCTGCACTGTGGTCTTAATCTCCACCTTAGTTATTCGTAAGTAGCACGAAAGTATCCGAGTAGGTGGTAGAAATAAAACAACAAAACGAGCAAATTTCCGACGATAAATACTGACAATTTTTTTTATTAATACGAATACTATGATACATGCTTAAAGCGAACGTCCCTTGTCCGCGATTCATTATACAATTGTCAACTCGTTCGAGGAAAATACGAGACGACACGTGTCGCGTATGCAATTACTATTCGCAGTATGTACAAATCAGATTGTAAAAGTAATCTGTACAATAATGATTCACGTATTTATGGACACGACATGTGCCCAGCGTTTTGTATACCAGACAAAGGTGATTGTCCTTTGCCGGCACGTGAATTAGCGCGCCTTCTTGCTCTTTGGGATCCACGTAATCTATGGTGTCCTCCTCGGGAACGTTGATCGTGTGAAATTGTATTATCACGTCGAGGGCACCCGGTTCCGAGACATTCCCGTCGTCCATGTCTTCTTCTTGGTCGGAACATTCCAAAGAACAGTCCAAAGGATCCGACAAATAATCGCCGATATCGGACACGTCTGAATCGTCCGTGTCTAAAAGCGAAAGATTCTCCACCTTCGAGAAGGTCGACTGTTGAGATAAATTCTTCTTCTTCGATCGTGGTGATTTCCCTTTGATCTTCTTCAATATCTCGTCTTCGTCGATGTCCTCGTCCTCCTTGTTGCTCACCGGAGTGTTGCAACCTGATTCCGCGATCTTGTTCTCGTTGTTGGCTATCGACTTTTTCTGACCATCTTTGTTACCTTTGCTAGACGTTGCCAGTGAATCTTCCTGCGTTTCTTCGCTCTGACTTATGCACCCGTTGATATTGGATTTCTTTTCGGTCAGAGCAGCGGCAGACTCGTTCGATATCGACTTATCACATATTAAAGTGTAACAACCGCTAGACCACCTTTGAAGCTCTATAACCATTTTTGGATTCATGGTTTCTTTCTCCGGAACAAGGTCTAATTCCGTGTAGTCTTTCAATAATTGAAACATCGAGATCGATTTGAACATGTTGTAGAAATTTTTCAACAATTCCGGCAACGTTCCTTCCTGTGCTACTTCGTAGTTGCGAGTATCAGCTGGACCAATTTTCTGCCAGACGATCGTGTCGGACATTAAGTCTGTGGCGAGTTTCTCGTAGATGTCGTCCTTTAAAAAATTCGACAAAAATGCGAACGATTCCTGCTCCATGTCTTGTTGAATTTCTTTGACGATACCAGGAAACAAGTAGCACTCTGTTACCCAATTGTTCAGGTTTATCCGATCGCCGGTTGGCTGTATGTAATTCGGCTCGATCTCTGGTCTCGGTGGTTTGCTACTTTCTCTGAGTGGTCCGTGAAACCAACCGTTGATAGACCAACGTGATTTGCCTGACGATGTTATTTCAGCTACTTGGTGATAAGAATTGTCGACAACTTCGAAAAATACAAGGGAATTGTATTCTGGTATCAACGATTTGACAACATTTCTAGGCAATCCATTCTCATCTGTGTCAAACAAGTCCAAAGCTCCACCATCTTTTGTTGTCCAGTTTTTAGAAAGATACAGTATAAAAGCAATTCTCCGGTCACCCATGTTGTCATCATGACAGAGTAGGTAATCTGTGTCATAGTAACAAGAACTTGACATGGAGATTTTCTTATTAAGCTCTATCTTGGTGTTTCGTTGCATCCAGGTTGCCAGATCTGTTTGAAAGGTTTCGTACAATAATTTTAGGTTTTCTGTATCGATACTAGCTAGATCGCTAGTTTGTTCAAACTGATAAAGGTCTATACTGTTTCTTCTACTTTTAACATCCAACAATTCATTCTTGATCTCATCCATGAACTCTTCGTTGCAGAGAAAGTTTGAGATTCTGCATACTCTGAAAGGTTTTGATATAATTTCAAGGTTGTCTGTCTTTATATCTACAGAATTGTGCCAATTTTCAAGGAAAGACCGTTGAAAATTTGAAGAATGAATAAAATCAGAGATGACAGAATGCTTCAACTTCTTCAATTGCGGTCCTTCTTCAGCCATTACTCTATATCTTTCTTAAGTCAACCAATAAGAATTTCTACTTATATATCCTTATACTATCAGTCTTTTTTACTTGAATCTTTGCATCAACGGTACATGTCCCCTATTAATTTACTTAGAAAATACTTTTTATAAATTGGTAAACTATATCACATTTTTTTCTATCTAATACACAGATATGTAGCATTACATATTTCAATAAGCACAATCACTGTCCATTAAAATCGTGTTATTTTTTTCTTTTTTCGTTTTTTGGTAAAAATACAAATTATATACACCCTTACGAACGTTCGTCTCTCTCAAAATATCATCCTCGAAGGTTATCGTTTTTGGAGTCAGTTATTGGTACATTGGACAATTGACAATGCTTATTTCAGATGAGTTTTTATTCAAAAAACGGGTGTTTCATTCTTCGAAAAGGTGTCGTGCTGATAGTAGAAATATCGTGGTCGCTCGACCCACACGTGTTCTGAAAGCAGTCGGTCGAAAAGTCGATTAATAGAATCCCGCTCCATTCCGTGATCCCGTCGATTGTTGAATCAAATTCTCGTCGAACAATTTACATCGCTTTTCGACAACTACGTACCAGAAATTGCACGTGTGTCCAAATTTAGCGAATTAGGTCTGCTGTTCCGTGTCACTACGCAGTTGCATTCTGACCAGAGACTGCTACTACCACTGGCGAAAACGTTGATTCGATCGAAGCCAGGGACGTCGCGAATTATTCCTGTACCCTGACCATACGCGATTCTCCTGCCTCGTGTAATTCCTACTTAACCTTAATTCGTGTAGTTTGCCGTCACGTGGTATGCGATTCAAGTATTGCGATTGTTTGAAATTTTGTGCGAAATAAATTTTCGTAGTACGTTTCTATCGACGAAATAACGTTGCACTTGTGACGAAATTAATTGTGAAATATTGGAACTGAAATAATTTTGCAACTTGTCATAATGTATGACAGAACGACAAGAAAAAAAATGAAAACATCGATATCGTACGTTCTTCTTTTTATTAACAATTTATTCCAATTTTTTCGTGACGCATAATGTAATTATTCGATCAGAACTTTGGCGTTAAAATGTATTTGAGGATCGAATCTTTAATCTACAGAGAATTCCATAATTTCTATCGTCTAATTTCATCGATATCGTTTCAATATCTAATTATAATTTGTTCGTCCTTATTAGTCCTTATTTTGGCTGCCTAATATTCTGTCTGTCGTATTTTCAACAAAAATTAACACACAAAATGAGCAATTTTGCTGTTGAAACGTATTTTTAAACAATATCAAATTTTCCATATAAATTTCGAACGTTTCGAATTGTCCGCGCTGGTGCACGATAGTTGGCAAATACGCCGCCGTGTGCCGCAAGGAACGGTCGTGTCAAGATGGTGGCAGTAGTTCACGTTTGACGGGTGCCGTTGGTCGCATGGAAATTCGGGGCACACCCTGACCGTTAAATTGTACAAAGTGTGATATCGTCACGTCTAATGTTCGATAATTGTGAAATCCTCGTGTGAATTACTAGCTGGCAATCCTGGAACCGACGAACGGGACGTCGCGCGCATACGTGAGTAACGACACACCATCGAAACCCACATACATGCACGGCGTGACAAGTCTCGTCCTTTTCCGCGTTTTTTCTCTATCGCGGCCTGTCAACACACGGTCCTTTTTTCCTGAAAATGCACGTTGCCTGGTTGTCGTACGCCGATAGGCTCCATAGAAGAAGGGTGGGGTCTTGCGGTTGAAATCAACGAGGTAAACAGGCGGTCAGGACACCCAGGATCCCTCAGTCACCTTTTGTTTGTGTACGGAGCACGTTGTGCCGGGGACCGTTGGTGAAACGATAATTACAGTGGTGTCTCAGTGGTGTCGTTTGAAAAATTTCTCTCTAATTAATCACGTTCAAATGTCACTTTGAGAAAAGATACGCACGTCGAATCGATAATCAACCCTACGAGAGGTCCCTTTTCTTTTTTTTTTCTCTCTGTCTCTCTCCTTCGATTCGCTATCGTGGCCTTGAACCGGACTTCTTAATGCCCTACTGTGACGATTATGGCGTGAAAGAACTTTCGAATTTTGAAATCCACCATCACGTCTGAAGAAAATATAAGAGGTGAGTCAGGTGGAATTTTTATATCACGCGTCAGCCTCGACTTGTTCGATCTATTATTCATTTCTATGCGCCTCGATTAAACGTATATCGTTCAGAGATTCTTTCCAGATATAAGTGACTATCGATTGCCATAGGGAGCTGCGTTTCTCCACGTCACAGTTTGTTTTTCTTTTGCCCTCTGCCGTGTCCTGTACCCAGTAACGATCCACAGATATATATATATATACACACGAAGATAGCAGTAGGAAAAAGAGTCGTGTAATTTCGTAGTATAGTTTACTTTAGCAATACAGTTGTACATGGAAGGGAAGCACTGGTGTGCGTCGCGTGTATAGAGGTAATACGTGACAATCGGGCCCGGTGTTTTATACGGTAATGATCAGTCTGATAAAACGGAATCGTGGAAGTTTCGAGTGAATTGCTCACGATGAGGTAGGTCATTCCCCTTTTTTTCTCCTTCGATGGAATACCTTCGACAAGATGCCAAGTGGCTCGTTTAACGATTACGCCACTCGAACCACTAAGCCTGTCGGTCGTGGCATTAAGTGTACTGTTAAACTCAAAGTACGTCCATTAATGTTACCGTGTAAACGTTTCTTATACACGGTGGTCCGTCTATTTAACACCTTGCACCATTTAGTTTAAACAACCTACCCAAAACTCCTCTCCTATCTCTCTGAAAATCTACTTTAACGTAAATAAGTAATCAAATATCTCAGTTTGTATTAATAATAAAAATAGGCGGTTAGAGAGTAATAGAAAATTATTGGAAGAAAGGAAGCTGGAAAAATAAGCATTCTTGGAATTGTCGGAAAGAAGCAGCCCGTCAGGTGATGTTGAAAGCACGTCAAGGCACCTGGTATACGGGCAGACCGTTACCTGTTTCATCCACGTGAAAAGGAAGGATCTATCCCGGATTTTTTTCGCCAAGTTTCACGCGTACACAGCTGTAAACCGGAAGCCGGTAAATATTTCTCCGTCGAAACAGGGTGGCTCGAATGTACATATATGTGTATATATATAAAAGTGACTCGATAATTATTCTCAGCGTTGAACCTGCCACAGCCACGTATACAAGCTGTCGTATATGGCATTAAATTCCAGTTATCGACCTCGCAGAGGATCGTTTTTATTTCCACGGAATCGAATTAATTCGATTCGTCTAACTGGTTTTCCCAGAGCAACAACTCCCATTGAAATTGGAGCAAATGCGATTTATTGACCTTTGCGGAGAATGCAGCTAGCACACTTTTACCTAGAATCGTTCTTAATCGATCACGTCGAATATCCGACAATTCGTCAATCAGTACGATCTACTGTAGAAAAAGAACCGTTGGTGCCGAAAACGATGGTATTTTTCCCACCGTTGCGATTCGATCCGCAGGACTGCGGAGAATTTATTCGAAGCCACGAAACGGCAGTGATAATTTCGTAAGGACGTGGAACGGCGACACGCTCGAATACGTGGTTGGTCGCCGCGAAATATGCCGAGCGCGTTTCCTCTTTTCTCTTCAGCTTAGAGCCGACTGTATACCAACGTAGCGGCACTCGAATCGCTTATGGCATCGTTCGTCAGTAGAGTGCGACGTGATCGAAGCAAACTATCGCGGCTATGTGAAAAGATAGGGAGCTATGGGTGGTCCCATCGATCGTCTACTCCTTTCGACGGATCGTCCTTGCTTTTACTTCCTGCGGAGTTACTCCACTTTTACGTTGTTCCAAGAGAGAGAGAGAGAGAATTACAGTGTAAAAAGTCGAGCATTTTATGCGAGCCGAAACTAGCTTCCCTTCCATTTGCCATTTGCATCTTCGAAGAAACCTCGATATTTCGATCTTCCGTGGAAAAAGTTGGAAGAGAAACGACAATCTGGTGTAATTCCTCGAAGCGTCCGTTGTCAGATTTAATTGCAACCGATGAAGTCATCCTGTAACGAGTTGGAGCATCACGCGCGATTAGAATAACATAAGCGTGGTCGTGGCTGAAGGGTTAAATAACGATGTGTCGCGAACGACGTAGCACTTTCGTTTTCCTTGGTACGAATTTGCCACGACGGAGCTGCGGAAGGATACACCAGGAGCAAGAAGGCCCTCTGTTATCGCCTGGCGAGCCTCGAGATGCGTCGAATGGACCGATACGAGCGCAATAAAAGGCACTTGGCCGAACAGAACAGGGCAGCTGCTGCATTCTCGACTCGTGCGTTCCATCTGCAACCAACTGATTGCAAACTTCTTTCATCTTTATCGTTGCGTTTCAAGCCCCTCTGAAAACTGCACTTGTTCCCTAAACCGTTGGATCTTCCAATTTGCAACTGCACACTGTTGCATCGGCGCCGATGCAATTACGGTCGCAACTCGTTCCTATCTCTTAACAATGATTCACCGTTCGGCTACTTTTATTTTCTCCACGGTGATTCGAAAGTTAGGATTGTGAAACAACGACACGGAAAGTCTCCGGCTGGCAGAGTCGGTTCTCTGCGAGTGATACAGGAAGCCGGGTGTGCTTCCGTGGGAACATTGTTTCGCCATTGCACCCTGGATGCAGATTAAAAGTAGCATCGCGTGACTCGGAGCAGACGTCGGCCTATTTCTCCCGTGGAAAAGCCTCGACCTTATTTCCAACATTTCACGGATCGTTTCTCTAAGCTTCTCAGCTTTCTTTCTGCGCTTCGAACTCGTAATTACAATGGGCTGCGGGCCAGAGGACTGCACCCGTTCGGAACCCTTGCTCCTTTGTCGCGTCGTTCGTTTTACTCGAAACTTCGTACCGGTTCTCCGAACGATCGAGGATAAAGAGGATAGAGAACCGCAGATTCTTCACGCTCGAACGTTTCTCGAGATTCTGAAGCTTCGGAATTTTGTCGTGAAATTATCGGTTCAGTTTGGTCGACCGAGTAACTCCGAGTATAGAAGTAGAAGGTAATTTTCGCGAATCGTTGCTCCAATTTGCCTTTTCCCCGGAGTTTGCAAATTGCACAGGCTCGTCACGAGACGTACGAGCAGTTGAAAGGTGAAGTTTAATCGTTACAGAAGGTAGCGTTATCGATAGTACGTGTGCGTTCCCCTTGTACGGGATAATGATTCAATTAA